ATCGCAAAATATTTTTAAAAAATTGCAATAATATCGTATCGTGCGTTAAGTATTGTGATAATATCGTATCGTGGGATGTATGGTGATTCCCACCTCTAGTAGGTAGTGACTACTACCTACTAGAGGTGACTGGCACCGACACATGAGCAGCAGATCCAGTCGTGCAGGGTGTAAAGTGGGAGGGTCAATGGATCAGACTTGTTTTTCCAGCACATCCCAGGGATGCTTGATCAGAATGAGATCTGGGGAATTTGAAGGCCATTTCAACACCCTGAACTCTTTGTCATGGATCTCAAACATTCCTGCTGAAGACTAAGGAGTGTATGTAGCATGTTTGCAAGTTTAGGTAGGTGTAACAGTCACATCAGTGCCACAGCTGCTTTCACTGGCTTGTGTTCTTTCTATTATCTTTTGCCATCTTTCCCCCAACATGCACCTAGCCACAGAGACAAGGTAAAAGCGGAAGTCTGATGTGTTTTAGCAACCAGCAGTAGAGTTTTCAGAACTTTGGTTTAGACTCCCTTCAGGTCTTGTGGCATCATTGAGTCATGCTCAGTTCTCCTGTTTTGGTAAGTACTAATCATTGCTTACTGGGAACACATGACATAATGTGTTGGAGATGCTCTAATCTAGTTGTCTGGTCACTACCTTGACAAAGTCACTCACTTTAGTTTCCAAGTTCAACACATCAACTTCAAGAACTCTTCACTTGTTGGTTAATAGTGATTATCGTGGCCAGTGTTGGGAAGGTTACTTTTAAAATGTATTCCATTACAGATTACAGATTACAGATTACATGCCCCAAAATGGATTCTGTAACGTATTCCGTTACGTTACTCGATGAGAGTAACGTATTCTGAATACTTTGGATTACTTAATATATTATCATGCTGTTTACAACGACGTGAATGTACTATTGCTGTGATTTATTACTGTTACCGAACCGTAGTAAAGGGACCTCTTGCTAATACGTGGGGTTCGTGTCGGGCTCGTAGCCGAAAAAAAGCTTTACTTTGTTGTCTGGGTCAACTTTTCTTACAAGAGACAGAGAGAGGCGTTGAAAGGCTGCTCCAACGGAACTTATTGGAGGAAAACACAAACACAGCGAACAGTCTTAATAGCTTACTTACACCTGGGCTCGTCAGGCACTCTTCTTGGCTGCAGTGGTTATTATTATATTTACATGCTTCCAGCTCCTGTTTTTGCTCGATGACAATTCGTACTTTTCCTTTTTCTCCCTCCCTCGCTCACAGAGACATAACGGGTATGACAGTCCATTCTCCCTGCAGCACGGACTACACTGCCTATGATGCTACATTCTTTAGAGCATTCTGCCTATTAGCTTAGCATAACAACAACAACAACAAAAAAAGCGCTCTCTCACCGCAGAGAGATAGCGTCACCCTGTAACCATGGCAACCGCAACGCTGCCGCCTGGAACAACAGAACATAGCTGTCAAACAAAACCCAAACAGTCCTGACCCGCGACAAAATGAAACAGGGAAGTACCGCCGTGTAATCCATTTATTTCAACAAAGTAACTGTATTCTAAATACCACCTTTTTAAATGGTAACGGAATACAGTTACTCATATTTTGTATTTTAAATACGTAACGGCGGTACATGTATTCCGTTACTCCCCAACACTGATCGTGGCTCATAGGTGCACACACAAGATTATTCGCTAATGCATACATTTCTCCTGTAAACCTTAAAATCCTTCATTTTCACTCATAAATCAATCCACAGACACGCAAAAACAAGTTTGGAGCTGCAGGTGGTTGCGGCTTTGGTGGTCACAGCCAGAGCTCTGTGCCTGCCTCACCTTCCTCAGCAGAAAATAGAAGGTAGAGGATGCTTTGTAAAATTAAAAGCAATTAGAGGAGTCACTATACAGCATCACCCATCTTTTGTTCCACTGGGACAACTAAAAATGTGTATGATATAATGTTTAACACTTGAGTATCATACTATTGCTCACATTTTACTACCTCAAAAACACAGATGTCAGTTTTGTTACGTCATAGGTTACATCACCAAGATGCTACTGACACATTTTAGCCAGAAGCCCAGAAGTATTGAGGTTTTAAACCCATCCCTAATGGCAGAGCATGAGTAAAAGCCATGACTCCCTCGAGTTCCTGCAGCATCTCCCCTCCACCCTTCTCTCTCTCTCCCTCTCTCACAACCAAAGATTCTTCTACACATTTACACCACTGCAGGACCCACTGGGAGCGTGGCCGGCAGAGTGTGGTTTATGTCTGTAAAAATAGCTCTCGCCATCAATAGAACACTCTCAGGCTTACACTAGGCCTTGACATCATTTCTTTATAAACACAGGGATGATGCAGAGAAAGAAAGGAACATACTGATAAGAAAGAGAGAGGGAGACAGCATACACTCCTCACAGGGTGTCCTGCTTCAAGGAAGTGTTTCTACTTTGGCAGCTTCTGCAAGTTCCCATTTGTATGTTTTACTAAGAACAGGAAAGAAACCGTCCAGTAAACAGATAACTTGTAGGTACACACTAAGATTAGAATGAGCTAAAAATGTCTGCTCTCTCATAAAACTGCCTTGTGCAGGAGACGAATTAAAGAAAATGAGAAATTTAGTGCAGTAAAAAGGATACATTGGCTCTTAAAAAAATGTAATAACCCCAAATGAGTACTTTCCTCGAGGTGCAGCTCAATCTGCATAATGTCTAGAGGGGCTTTGGTGGATCCTTTTTCATGTGCTTTAGCTCAGGTATTTTGTTAGGCTGTCTAGA